TGGGGCGCCACAGGTCGGTGTCCCTCTTCCTGAGGGGGGCCTTACGGCATCGTCCCCCTAGTACCCCGAGGGCTCCGGCTTGGGACCTGCCCCTAGTGCTAGATGCCCTATCATCTCCTCCCTTCGAGCCCCTGGCCCATGTAGGGCTTAAGTGGCTGTCCTTGAAGGCAGCATTTCTGCTTGCCATAACCTCAGGGAAGCGAGTTGGGGAGTTGCATGCCCTCTCCGTGAGCGATACATGCCTGAGGTGGAACTCCGATGGCTCGGGTGTTGCCCTCTGGCCGAATGTGGCGTTCCTGCCCAAGGTGCTTCCACTTGCCCACTCCAATCGGCCCATCCAGCTGGCACGCTTTAACGTCCCACAGGAGAGCCGCACGCCCGAGTTGCTGTGCCCTGTGCGTGCCCTGAGAGAGTATGTCGATGCTACGGCCTGTGTACGGCAGTCAGAGCAGCTCTTCGTTTGCCATGGCGGCATTAGGAAGGGTTGTGCTCTCTCCAAGCAGCGGCTGTCCCACTGGGTTGTCGATACAATCGCACATGCCTATGGGGCCAGTGGCCGCCCCCTGCCATCAGGGGTGAGATGCCACTCTACAAGGAGCGTCTCAACGTCTTGGGCCGCCCTGAGAGGAGTGCCCCTGGAGACCATCTGCGCCGCGGCGTCTTGGGCATCTTCCGGCACATTCTCCAGGTTCTACCGGGTCAATGTCGCCACTCCCCATCCTTTGGGCGTGGTCCTGTTGCCAAGCTCCGCTGCTTCCAGCTAGGTGAGTATTTGGTTTCTTCATGACATGGTTGGTATAAGTCATCCAGTGCTAAAAGCACCGCCTCTGGCGGTCAGTAGGGACGAAATAGAACGATAGTTACGTCTGTAACTACGGTTCTATGAGTCCCGGATGACCGCCAGAGTTTCCTGTCACTCAGAATTCTTGTGTGCTCGCGAGAAGATTCTGGGAACAGATCCTCTGATGACACGGGCTGATATAGCCGGTGTCACGTGGGTCACAGGTGACTTTGTTGATATTGGTACTCGTACTGCGCATGCGCACGATGGACATATCCAGTGCTAAAAGCACCGCCTCTGGCGGTCATCCGGGACTCATAGAACCGTAGTTACAGACGTAACTATCGTTCTCGCTCCCTCTCAACACTGATTTATCTTCTAAATTCAAATCAAAACAGTTTCTTGCTTAGGGCAGCAATAGTGAAACTTTCCGTAAGAAGTCAATTGTGTTTAAGCTACTTAGAATTTAAGCGCTAAACAGGACCGGAGAGCTTGAAAGATAGATTGAAAGAAAACAACAATGCAATCAAGAAACGCAGACATAGAAAAGCCACAGATTGAAATGGAATGGAAAGCAGCAAGCAGAGATTGGTTAGGATATAGGAATAGCTGCATGTGTGTGGGCAGATGATAGTGGACGTATCCATGCCTCTGAATAGACCAGAGTTCTCTTAGGTCAGCAACTTCCTCCTAACAACCACACTGCTTGAAATCAAAACAGATTTTGATGATGGGTAAGAAAACTGTGCAAAGCTACTGGAGGAATAAGTTCCAATTCCCTTTTATTTGAACACACTATAGGCTATATCTTTCATCTCCATGCGGCTCCCTCGTGCAGCCCAAAACACTTTAAACAGATACAAAATGTTGAACCTTAGTGTTTTACAGCTCCCTGTTGTGTATGCACAGTTTGTAAAGGGTGTAGGAAGTTCCCCAGTGTATCTGACTGCAGGGCGAGGCCCAAATGAGCACAGTTCATCTCCCCAACGTTTACATCCCTCAACCAGCACTCCTCTGGGGCTCCAGTTAAAAAAGGAGCGGTGTGGGATTATAAAGCACAGCTGGTTTCCATGTTAATGTAGCTCCTTTCTGCTCTGCTGGGTGGGCGATATAAATAACAATCAGTCAAAGCCCCCTGCCTGTGAATTTAATTTTTCAGATGGGAAGTTTAGCTGACCGATTTTCTGGCTATAGCCACCTCAGCGATTATATTTTTGAAAGAAAAGGATTCTGACTGAGTGACAGAGCTGAAGATGAAACACCGAGTATGGGAGATTGATGAACGTGTCGGTACCAATCGCTGTAGGGCTCAGCAAAAAGGACAGCATTTTTTATGCCTGATCAAGTAAAACTGAAACCTCTAACAGCAAAACTAAAAAAACTCATCCGTGTGATTTTAATAAAATATAAATCTGCCTGACTCAGGGGGCTGCGATATGTAGCACGCAGCTAAAGCTGACAGAAAAAAAAAGAAATCACATAATTCATTAATGTTATACCCCAAGTAAGAGACTAGAATATTTCTTGTTGCACTAGTCAAAAGGACTTAAGACTGCAAGTAACAAATGAGATCGTTCTACTTAAAAATGCCAGGATTTGTACTTCTTAGGAGAGAAAAAGCTCCATTCAGTGTAACTAATAAGTGGACGGAAAACAATGTGATACTACAAATGTTGAAAAACCTTTCATGTAAAAACCTCTTTGATGAGTATTTAGGAAGTTCTCTGGGAAGATGATTCTTTATAACACTAAACGTCAACAGAGACAACTAGCCACAACAAAAGTGTTTTGTGGAGTCTCACTAAACCAAGGCCTTTCTGGGACTATGTTACTGCGATTATAATAGACATTAATGAGATGTGCATTCTAGGCAACAGTGCAAATACGTATTCATTAACATTGAGAAGGCTACAAGGAAGAGAACAATACCTGACAGCACAAAGAAACTATTAAAAAAATGGCTATCTGTGTAGAAACCTTACTTGGGTTCAATCCTCTGTGATAATGTTGCACTCGACTTAATTTGAAGGAAATGGTATTTGTTAGTTGACTTTGAAATACATGTGTTATATTATCAAACTCAAGCCAAAGTTTAACGCATCAATGGTCATTTAACGATGGTCAAATGAACCGTTAATCCAACTTGTGGTCAGTTATTTGTTGTGTTTGTGCGAGAGAGAGTGACTGTGTTCACGCTTGTTCTATTAAAAAAAAGCCCTGAACAACTGTGCCCCAGCCTGCTCGGGTACACTTGGTCGATCCTTTAAATCTGTGAAATGGCTGACCGTATTTCTCCCTGAGCCGCAGTCAGCGTCTGAACACATTTTTACTGCAGTGTCCGAAGCCATGATCGTTAAAATCGCCCCCATAATCATGAACACATCATAGTTAGTGTGATCAACGTAGCTGCTCACGAGGGGTAATGATATTGGAGGCTAGCCCACCGAGGTAAAAACTAAGGCCTTAAGTCCTCGCTGAGTAATGGGCCCACCCTTTGGCCAAATGATGCCCGCTTATACTTAAAGCATCATTTACATTAGTGCTTGATCTGGGCCATTGCACAGAATGCTTCAAATGGGTCATTAGTGGCAGAATATTCACATCATCTCTGTTATGTTGGAAGATACAAATGTAGCAGCATGAGTCAAAGTGCTTGTAATGTGTGTAGTGTGCAAATACTGCCACTGGGGGGGACATATAGTACTTTATCATATAGTGCTGGGTATGCAAGTGTATTCAGGGGAATACTGTGCGAAGGCAATGTGGCAGAAAAGGGTTTCCGAGGGACATCGTTGTGGCAGCAGGGTAATACTGCCACCATCTGGGACACCGAGGCTCCATCTCAATTCTCTACAGTCTGCTAGTTGAGGACTTATGCATGTCTCCCCACGGATCCAGTGTTGTTGTGCTGCTTTACAAAGATTACATCATGTTGCCAAAAATGATGAGCATGGATGAGTATTACTTCCACCACACTGAATGAGCAAACAGTTTGAGGGAAAACATTTAACCTCTCAGTCTATTGTATAATGACACCCTCTTGGTCAACAATGCCATGTAGCTGGCATCATAACAAATATACCACGTTCCACAGAATCTGATACGTAACTAAAAGAGTCTCTCACAGAGAAACTTTGATAAATGATATAATCACATATTGCTTAAAGGGGACCTATCATGCAAAATGCACTTTTGTACGTCTTTTATACATGAATATGTGTCCCCGGTGTTCCAGGGAACTCACCAAGTGTCAGAAAACACAACCCTCTCTATTTTCCTCCATACCCAAATCTCTAAAAAAGGGGCTGCAACGGATCTGATAAAAACGGATCCAGATTTGAACACTGTCCTGACATCAGGACGGTGGCGCTACGGCTATTGGGCCAACTCCACCAATCAGGAGGAGACAGCCACGGCCATTGCCGTTCGAAAGCGCTGGAGACACGGTAGTATATATGCCAGGCCTGTAAGTGGCGCTGTAGTCTGCCACAAAAGCAGCGAAGAAGACTTGGTTACCATGGTTACCCTTCTGTTTATTCTCCGCTGTGGCTTTCTTTCTCCCTCCCCGAGGCAAGCGTTTGCTCCCGCTGCAATGCAATCCCTCCCCGTTGAGGCAAGCACTGTAATTCTCTCCGGTTAGTCCACCAGCAGATGACAAACACCCACCTCTCAGCCTCTTCCAAGGAACGAGGGGACCGTGCGGCAGAGTTTCAGTTTCAGTTGTTTCGCCAGTCAAGATGTCCGTTAAAGTTTAAAGTTTTAAACTTCCGGACAAAATTAGAAAAGTGCCAGTCAAAGGTCTTCTTTGTTATTTATTGAGTTTTAAAACAAATGAATAACGACTCTATATAATAAAACACGGAGGACCGAGATCTCTTTTTCTCCCCCTCTTCTGACAGCCCAGCAGCTGATCAGAGCACGTCTCCCCTCTCCTGCAGGGGGGCGTGGTCAGCAGAATCAGACCCGTAGACAGCAAACAGCACATAGAGCGAAATGAGGCATGGCTAAAATGCATGATCTGTTTGGCATTTTGAAAACAGAAACGTATAAATATACCTTATATAGGTATGGCCCTACAATATATCATTTAAATATAGCATGATAGGTTTCCTTTAAACACAACGTTATCTAAATGTATTTCTTTTTCAATTCTGACAATGAGTATTTTACCCATGACAAAACAGGCACTTTGAAAAGTACTGTATTCTAAATATCTTACTTGTTCCCTCTGATTCCTTCCCTGCGGACTGTGGCAAGGCCCTCGTTCACCAGACTGTCAGCAAGGTTCTCGCCAGTTGTGTCTGAAAATAGAAGGAAAAAACATCAAGTACTTTTTAAGAAAGAGAAGCATTTTTATTTATTTATTTATTTATTTGAAGACCATTATAATCACACTGCAGTTAGTTCTGGTCGGGAAATTTTATTGGAAACGAGGCAATCATGAGTGCTGACATTTCGGATAGGGAGACATTTTAGCTACACAAAATCACATTTTGCAGGATTGCTAATTTAACGGCTGATTATAACAACGCCCAGTTAAATTATACCAGCAGCATGTTCAACTTCCCTGAAAAACACTCTTAAGTACTGTCCGACTATCAATTTCTTTTTGAAAAATAGGGTGTTTAACTAACTCTAATGCATTTTTTTTTGCATAAAATATACATGAAACTTTGATAGCAAAATCATAACCCAGCATTTTGGAAAGACGCCCCGAGTTGCAATAATGAGTTGCACATCACAGGTAAATTAAATTCATTATAGCATGTCCCATCTCATTTTGCTTTAATCTTCAAAAAATGAGATTCCAATTAGTATTTCTCTTAATGTGGACATTTCTCAGATCAGTTAGTGATTATAGAGACAGGTCCCTCACCTCGCCCCAGGTAGACTATGCCGTACTCCCTGCCCAAAGCGGTCTTGATTTCCACAGTGAAGCACACTTCTTTGCCGATAAGCTTCTTCCGCAGGAACTCTCTGGCTTGAAAGGCATAAGGCTGCAAAACAGACAGGAATAGGAATGTACTGAACCATAAAGCAGCATTAATCAGATCAAAAGTAGAAAACAAGTAAATACATACTAATGCAACAACAAATATAATCCTTCATTTTAAGTTATATGAATATTGTATTGTTTTCCGATTAAATTAGAGTGTAATCACAGATGATGGCTCTGTCTGCAGGTTATTTGCTATTTCCTCTTCACAGCAACCAGACACACACAGTAATGAAGCAGAAATAATACCCACTAAACACAGTTATCAGCATATCAGATATTATCTTGATTAAAACAAATTATCTCTAAGCCGTTTTTAATGGATTTTTTCTTTCTTTTTTCATCTGATAAAAAGAAAAAAGCCATGACTGTCTGTCGAAACCATATAGGAAATGTATTTAATAATGAAAAGCAGAGATTTCAGTCCCGACACAATTGATACTAATAGATTTAAATACATTTAAAAAACGGGCAACAGAACAGACAGTAGTTTCATCTGGCTGTGATAAATAATTGATGGACTTTTTGAAATAGAGAAGAAAATTAAACCAGTGGCATCTTAAAGTCCCGAGTTCAATAGAGAATTGCTAGGCTATATAGTCATTTATACAATCAAGCATGTTTGGAATACCAATTCATGAATAATGACACCTGCTAAATGGGAAAAAGATTAGGCAAAGCCATGTGAAAGAAAAAAACAAATATCATAGTTTGTTCAGCAGGGCTAAACAGAGCGACCTTGTTCTGCCTTTGCCAAACACACAAATAAAAACAAACAAACAAACACAATGGGATAGAACTGCTCACCTCATCGGGGGTGTCCTTGCTGTCGGGCTGGGCCTGAGCGGCTCGACGGGCCATGGCCCCCGCTCGGATATTACTGAGATTGATCTGACGCTCTGGGGGGGGGCCACCTCGAGGCTGGCCCCGAACAATGATGGCACAGCCCGACAAGACCTGAGAGAGATGACAAAAACAAAAACAACGTCAATTGAGGCGATAAAATCAACAGTAAAAAGATTTGTCTATGCCACGTTTCAGTCGGGAGATAATATCTCAAACACTCTCTTCTTGTTTTTTAAAATCTGTTTAATCACAAAGAACATAATGCATTTTACAGGCCACAAACACCAGAAACATATACCAGACCACAACACGTGTGGAAGGAAATAAATGAGGGGTAGCCTTCAGTTTCTGTTTCCTCTGTGACATGACATGCACTCTGGTACAATCAGTAATCCATTGTATTTGTGTTTGCCTTGCAGCAAGTGTAAATCTGATAAGCACTATGAGAGGCTCATGGAGGATTTATTCTAAACAGCTGTAACATAAACAAGTACAGTTAATAAGCACAAAAAAAAGAAAATCATCGATTTAGAGAATTAGATCCGAGCTTGTGCGTGAATGCAAATCCGTTTCCAATAAACAAAATCGGAGTAGCTCTAAATTAGCTAAATCTTAAAAGATGTTAAAGGACAAACTTTTATAGAGTTGAAAAGCAACTTCAGGTTGCATGTTTCCATGGAGACACTATGTCATTCAAAGACAAGGGGAGATCACACTATCTGATAACGTAGCTAAATACAAAAAAAAAAAAAAAGATAACCTACTCTTGGGTTTGACAACCATGGCATTTACACGAATCTGAGCAAACACCTTTTATCTGCGGACTCTCGTCTGCAGGGAGCATCACTGGGGGCTGTTGATCTAAGATGTGGGCTAGATAAAGTCTTTCATCAAGTCACCACCATTCCCCGCTATCTGACTCAGTCCCTCAAAGTATAAGCTAAACCGGAGTGTGACTGTAGTTTTTATACACTGGCTGGCATAATTAAAAGAGGCACTACCCCCACCCCTACGTCTCTATTTACAAAAGGTACAAGTTCCACTTGGAATGCAATACACAACATGGATCACCTTTTTCAAGCATATTAAAACTCTAACCAAACTAATTTCAAACCAACTACTCAGATTATAGTACATCAACAGACCTTCACAAAACCCTCAATTCCTTTGGTAGTTAACCCAACAGAGTGTAATACACAAACTACCTTCTCAAGGGAGGACACCAGTTCTAACCTGTTTTTTCAGTAGTACCCACAGTAATTAAAACAGCCCTTGATACAACGCCCGGGGGGGAAATATTTTCCTAATAATATTAACATCTAAAACAACCTAACATACAGTTTAAAACCTTATTAGTCCGAATTCATCTGCTGCCTATCTGTTTCTTAGTGGCATACACAAGACTGTGGGTCTACTGGCCACTGTCCAAGGGCTCAAAATATGGAACTATGCAAGGAATTCGCTGATAAATTATACTAACTTATTCTAGTTTATTAACTTAAGGGTTATCTCTCCTTTAGGACAAAGTGCAAGGTCGAATCCAAAAGCGAAGAAGGTGAAGTAACATAGCAGCGACTACACATAACCAAGATGAATGGGAGATTATAGGGGCCAGAAAGCTGAGGCTACGTGTCAGTTTCCCGTGGTCGGTTTTAACCGGCAGACTGGGGAAATGCTGTCTGACTTGAAGGCTCGGGACACATAAACCAGCCAATGGAATCTACGATTTCCTAACGTTGATAACTGGGACTTTAACTGCTGAAATACGTCACAATAGCACTTATGGGAAATGCTAAGAGAGACAATAAAAAAGTGATATGAGGAAAAGCCTCAGCGTTAGCTTACACGCTACTTGGCTAAGTACCTATTGACATGGGACCAATAAGTATAATAAAATGCGTAAACGCTGTCAATTCTTTGTTTCTATCATTACAGACCACGAACTTTGTTTATATAAATCAACACTTGCTGGACAGTAAACGACCGTTAGGTAACCGTCAGCTAGCTAATAGCTGGGAAACTAAACATCTGTTATTATTAACCGAGTTAACGTCAACTTAGTAATTAATGTCAGTTTCCAACCAGCTTTGCTATAAGTGTATGCGAATTTACTTTGTCGAATGGCAGTGAATCTTTAACAGCTGCACGACAGTTGTCAATACATTTACATTTCAGCTGAAATTGCCAGTTGAAGTTAAAGCTAACTAGCAAGATAGCACACATGTGCTAACGTCAATAGGCTTCAGCTTATTAGCAGGCTAGCAAATGCTAGAGCGAACTAGCTAATGCTATCAGATGTTAGCAGGTGAGCTGAATGCAAGTGACAGTTGTAAGTGACACGTTGCCAACTCTGGCATTTAACGGACAGTTGCATATATTTCTTCATATAACTTTAAATAAAGTTGTATGACAACCTCAGTTACTTCAGCCTCTATAAGCTCCTAGCTCACTACGCTATCTAGCTGTATGCCTAGGTTCACGTAGTGAGCTCACATATTTTTGTTAGGATTCCTACCATTTTCACAATTCCTCTTTGCAGGGAAGCAGCTGGAGCTGCTGCAGCCTGAGCTGGTGCCAAAACAGATGCCATGTCCACTGGTTTAAGATATAACGCCGTTAACGGGTGAGCAGGTGAGGGAGCTTGGACTCTGTAGTGAATGACTGTTCTACTGAAAGCCAAGAGAAAAAGGCTGAGCACCGATCAACACACACGTTATACCGGAAACACACTTTCCATGCATACACACACGTCAAAATATATCCGGGTCCGGTAAGCACAATGAATGGGAGCGAATGCAGCCGCTTATTCACCGCGTAAGCGAATTGAAATAACGTCTTCCGGAGCAAGACGTGCGACACGTCAGCATAGAGTTAACACTACAATGCTGCCTTCACGGGCTGACGGAAATGTTGAGTCCACACAAGCGAGACTATACAATGACAAATTAACTATACATTTAGCAACAGTTTCCAGTTGGAAATTGGGGTTTCGTGAGCACAAAAGAGATTTCAACAATATATTACAAATGCTGGATTTGCATTAAATGTTATTGTTTAATATATTGTACCTTATTATAAGTATTGTAAATCCACTATCTCCTGCATATCTTCTTCTCTTCATTTTGGTTGGTCCAGCAGCTTTCTCCACAAGATTCCAAGATGGAATCAAATGAAATAAACAGAAAGGGATTTCATATGTGAGACCTTTTTTTACCAAATCATTTGAATTTAACTTACAACATTTCACACGTTGTCAGACTTAGGCCTACACACAAATATGCAATTGTACACTGTGCATCACCAAATACAAAAGGTGTTCAATTCAATACTTCTGAAAATTGAACTGTTCATTAACTTTTGGACCCTTTTCACAATAGACGTTTGGACTGGAAATAATCAGGTGGAATTAATATCATTAATGTTGGCTGCAAGTATTGTGCATGCTCACTGTTATATGACACCAAAGGAGCCATTGTTAAAGTTAATGTTATCACAGATTGCATGTCACTTTAAACTGAAATAAGATTTGCGTTAAAATGAATATTAAATCTCAACCTCCCTGTCGATTTTGCTGCAATATCATAACATTGGGGATAATCTTGCACCAGAAGATTTTGATTTGATATTGCCTGTTTTGTTCTGCTGCTGCTCAGTTGTACTTGTCAGATCTCATATGTTATTGTGAGTAACTGTGTGAGTGGGAAACAGGGCATGGCTGGCAAAGAACATTATTGCTCATGGGACCTATTCTAAATATTTGCAGGCTAAATACCTTGAGATGTTTTTATGACCTGTTTTAATGCTCTGACATTAATTCCCAAAAGGAGTAGCTTGTAACGACTACCATGAACTGTGTGTGACAGGGAGAGACAGAATGCTCCTTGGCATAGAGGTCCAAAATGACCCGTTGGTATGTAGTTGGTTTGAGGCTAAGGGAACTGAACTCTAGTACCAGCTTGAACACAGTGTGAGAAGCACCAGGAAAGATAGCATGTAAAATAAGGATTTTTTTTTCTGCACTAAAGTGTAATTTTCATATCGCTCTATTCCTATATTTAACTAAATATCTAATCAATTTAAATTGTTGCAACCTCTTTTATAGTAGCTTAGATGTAAATAAATATGTTTAACTAAACGTTGTCAAACTGTTATTTGTTTACTCACTTAGTTCAGTTGTTTCAGGACCGAAATTGGCATTGTGATATGACCTGAGGGGGGAAAAAACATGATCAGTAATAAATATACAATGAGTTGGTTGTAGAAATAATGACTTATTTACTTGTATATTTGTTGTTTATTCCTCCTATATTAGAGTGATAAATAGAGGCTCCCAGAGTTACATTTTCATGAAATAAATGCATGTATTTTAATAAAGATTTAATTCAGTACACTGTTTAAGATTGCCAACTGTGTTCTTCAGGTATAGCTTCATTGTCTTTCTTTGCAGCACGCTATTCGCTTCTCTGCACTTTTACCAAGAAGAGGATAGGTAACAGTGAAAGCTTTTAGGTAATTTAGTTATTAACATCCCATACGCATGTGATCGTTTTGTGCGCAAAGTTAACACAAAATCTGTCATGGACTTTTTCTGTATACTAAACCGAGTTAAAACTATTTTTGTGTGTAAGCCCACTCCTGCAATCTGCACTATGGCACCTCTATAAATTGTAGGATGGAGATAAAGGATTTACGCAAGCGTCTGCTTTTACAGAATAAAAAAGCATTAACTCAAGTAAGAATCAAAATGGAAGATACCAAAGCTCATAAAAGTATGAAGAAACTTTGTAGAGAATCGACCAGGGAGGCAGCTCCGTTGCGCAAACTACACCTTAGTGCGCACTGGAGAGGTTTTGGAAACCTTTTTACGCGGATGAATAACCCACATTTCTGAACGCTTCAAGGCGCAGTAAAGCAACGACATAGGTGTTTTATGCAAGCCAAAAACACCTCAAATATCGTAGTAAAATGCAAACTTTTTTTTGTTGGCACGATTCAGACTTATAAACTCCCGCTCCCTCTATTGGCGAGCCCAGATTCGAATTTACGCACCACGAATATTAGGTAATGTCTTAACAACACAACCTAAGTACTTTAATCATCCTCGTTTGGCACACACTGTACGAGCTATAAAGTAATATAAATCAATGACCTCATTAACTCCGTGCTAATAAATAAAAAGGCTTGCCTTATTTTTCCATTGTCTCGGTTGGCAAGGAGATGATGGTGTCCAAAATGGATGTCCTCTATCTAACCTGCTGATTGTACACAGAGAGTATTATTGTCCTCTAACCCATGGTTAATGTATAATTTGGGCCATATGGCATTTTAAAATCTCAGGCTTTATTTCGGTGGCACTTCGATCTGTGTGGACCCAACTAATGATATTCAATTAGTCATTAAACAGGCCAAAAGACGAGCCTCGTGTGGGTTTTTCGCATGGGCTAATATTTGCTCGTCAAATATTTCCCTTCGAAACGTTTACAACGCATTTTTATCTGCTGGCTGCCCAAGGAACATCTGTGAGGGTTATTTTAGCCTCCCTCTTCTGGATAAACGAGGTCCCCCAATTGGCCCTCTTCTTGCGCCCACATACGAGTCTATTTGTTCACGGTTTAAAAGAAAATGTAATAAAGAGAGTCTGGGTGATGGATTTATGATTTATCAAAAGCACTTTACCATATGGCAGTCGTCATTGGCGCAGATTTCCAAATGTTTGTTTTATGAAAGGACACCAGAGATCCTTTTAATCTGAGCCACTTAGGCTGGGAAAGAATGCTCGAGTCACGTGACCACAAGTGTTAAAGTCACTAAAGGATGGGAAGCATACCAGTGTTGATATTTTAGCTGCTTTGAAAGATGGCATTTGTAACTTAAATGTAATTGTAAAACATGCACCGATTCAGAAAGTTAAACACTGATTTGTGTTGCACTGACAATGGATTTGTCTGATTGAGATTGTGTGCAGCCACTGCGCAAAAGTAGACAAATCTGGATGACAAAATCTGGATATTAGTATGTTAACTCTGTAGTAACAGCAGTACACAGACCTTTTGAATCAAATCACGATTTAGACGGATAAGTGGATATATGCGCTTATAATGCCGACTAAGAAATGCAACCTTTATCCAGTTCACTGTTCTCACGAATAAAATGATATTGCCCCAAACAAGAGGGTGCAAAGATGGTGGTATTTTTTTTAATAACATCCTAGTAGTGAATCTAGTTTATGGAGCCCATGTAACTCAGATATTTTTAATTATTTGTACAATACTTTATTACTTTTTTATGTGCATACTAACTAGATCGAAGTCAAATGTAAACTTCCTTCTTTGGAGGTATGTTCCAGAAGATTTAATGTCCATGACTCAATCCTTCCTCTGCATGATGCTTGAATCCCATTAGACTCTTGTTTTTGAATATCCTTGAAAGAAATGTCTTGAAGAGACCTACAAGGCCAACACACGTAAAAGCCCATTTTGCTAAATAATATAAACTTTCGCTTAAAGGCAATATTGACATTTCAGCAGTGGTGTAAAATAACTAAGTAGATTTACTCAAGTAGGCCTACTGTACAATGTTGAGGGACTTATCTCAAATTTTGCTCATTTGTATTTCTACCCCACTACAACTCAGAGGTACATCGTGTACTTTTACTCCACTACATTTATTTAATACCTTTAGTTACTTTTCATATTTGGATTAATGATGTGAAATATAATCAAGTCTTAAATCAGACTTTAGTTCCACCTGGAGTAAATTCACAAGCTACCCTGCAGTATACAAAGTCATTCAAACTAGCTGCACCTTTACCAGCTTTGACAACACTTTAATGCATCAATCATTATAAAACATATCATATATATTATTCTGAAATGGACCAATCAGCACAATGAGTGCTTTTACTCTTGGTACTCTAAGTATATTTTGATGCTAATACTTTTGTACTTTTACTTAAGCAGCATTTTGAATGCAGGACTTACTTTTAATGGAGTATTCCTACACTCTGGTAGGCCTACTTCTACTTTTTCTTAAGTACACGATCTGTGTACTTCCACCTCTGCATTTCAGGTAGCCACACGTCATGCAGGTCTCCAGGTCTATAAATGTCTGCTGAAGGGCGTGATCCTCTCATTGTCATTTATCAGAGATGCGCGGAGCTACCTGGACATTTCATTTTCTCTACAAGCGACATTTTGTTTGGTTGTGCCATTTCTATATCATATAGGTGTTTTTGGAAGCAGTGCATTTGTTTTTATCAGCAAATTCACCATCAAGCCTAGGAGCCAGCTGAGATGTGCGGGGCCAACGACCTGCCAAATAAAGGTTACTTTTATGATTCCATTATACTGCACTTTAAGGCTGTAATTAGATTATAAGACTCAAACCATGTGCTGAGGCTTTGTGGCGCATTTGTCTAATGCGCCACATTAGTCTTAGTCCAGATGTACAATTTAGTAGATGTAATTGAAGTTTGTTATTTTTCCTGAGTGGTTAAGCAATTGAAATCACTTTGTAAAATAGATTTAAATAGCATAGGTTGTGTTATAACAAGGTGGTGGAAGTGTAAACCAGCTCGGAGGGATGTTTCTCAACGGCAGACCTCTTCCGGAGTCCAAAAGGAGGAAAATGATCGAGCTGGCCTCGGAGGGAGTCCGGCCGAGCCAGATCTCCAGGATCCTGCGGGTACGGAAAACTGTTCTGCACCAGTAACCCCATTTATTCAGATTTCAGTCTGAAAAGGTGGTTTAGGCGTTTTGATGGTTTAATATTCTCACACATGTAAGATCTAGTAAATACAATAATCACTTTACAACTCAATTTACTCAAGCACTGTACTTGAGTCAATTGTTTGGTTTGCTACTTGGTGCTTCTTCTCGACTAGGCCTACAGTTCAGAGGTAAATGGTGTACTTTTACTCCACTGCATTTATTTAATACCTTTAGTTACTCTGCAGATTTGGATGAATGATGTGAAATATAATCAACTCTTAAATCAGACTTTAGTTCCACCTGGAGTAAATTCACAAGCTACCCTGCAGTATACAAAGTCATTAAAACTAGCTGCACCTTTACCAGCTTTGATAACACTTTAATGATCAATAATTATAAAACATATCATATATATTATTCTGAAATGGGCCAATCTGCATAATGATAGGCTTCTTGAACTTCCTGGTTCCAGATTCCATGTAAATACTTTTCAATATCTTAACCTAAAATAGTTTTTATTTTATTATAATTGTTTTATCTTCTTTAACTGTGTTTATGTAGCATATAGGACAAGGCAAATTCCTTGTTGTGTGTTAACCTATTGGCAATAAACCTGTTTCGGATTCTGCCAATACTTCTTACTGTTACTTGAGTAACATTGCAGGACTTTTAACTTGAATCTGGTAGGCTACTTCGCACACCTCTGTCACTTTATAATATATTCTAATAAATTATCCCAATGCGTATTTCAGGTTTCCAACGGGTGCGTCAGTAAAATCCTGAGCCGCTACCAGCGCACTGGACTCCTGCAGCCGAAAACCATCGGGGGGAGCCGGCCTCGCCTCCTCACCCCCGGGGTCATCACCACGATCATCCAGTGCAAAAGGGAAAATCCAACCATATTTGCCTGGGAAATACGGAAACGACTCTCATCAGCTCGAATATGTAAAGCCTCCAAAGTTCCCAGCGTAAGTGACAAGTTTATGTTGTCATAAGACCGAAATGTTCAAGCATTTGACATGCTGCTTTCTACTCTCTGTGTTCCGCAAGGTGTCGTCTATAAATCGAATTTTAAGGAAGATTCACTTGGACCATGGACCGATGTGCATGGAGACCAATGCCCGCATCAGGACTGAGGATGGTAAATCACTGGAATAAATGAAAGAAGGAACAGCTGATTATCTCCAGCTGATTGTCATTATACACAACCAGCAGTGGTGGAATGTAACTAAGTAGCTACATTTACTCAAATACTGTACTTAAGTTCAATTTTGAGGTATTTTACTTCACTTGAGTTATGCTACTTTTTACTTTGATTTGTATCCATTTTGGATGCATTTTTTAATTTTTACTCCACTACATTTATTTCTACAAATGAAGTTACTAGCTACTTTGCTGGTATGGATTTATATTACAGATTAGAAACCAACCAATCATGTATTATTATAGGTTAAGCTACCCAGCATTATATCAAGTAATTTAAATAATCCCCATCTTTACCAAGTGCAAAATTGACATTAAAGGTAGGGTAGGTACATTTGAGAAACCGGCTCGAGATCGCTAGAATTTGAAAATACACAACCGGAGAAAATCTGCCACTTCCTTATAGAGCCCCTCCTCCAACACACACGAACGCGCACATGACCAATGAGGGCACGAGATAAGTTTGTGCACAGATGGAAGGCTGACAGGCAGGTAGGCCATCCAGTTATTTTAGCCGGGCCGGCTAAAATGATTGGTCGCTTTTTACAGTACTACTACGGCTTCCACAGATGACATTTTTTTATGGATTTTTTGTCAAAGCACTTAAGATATTCATTGCTATCGGGATGTTAAGAGCATTCCATGGAATATAACAAAAAGTGTATCTCGAGCCGGTTTCTCAAACTTACCTACCCTACCTTTAATGCATTAATAATTAGAATACAACTATGTAATATTTTAAATCTGATACGGGCCATAATGGAATATAACTAATTTCACTTTTGGTACTTTAGGTATATTTTATGCCAAAGGTTTTGTACTTTTACTTGAGTAAGATTTTAATGCAGGACTTTTACTTGTAACAGAGTATTCCTGCTCTTTGGTAGTTTAACTTAATTACACAAGTACTTTTTCCACCTCTGTCAACCAGTCACTAATATATGATGACAGAACTAAAGCCAAAAAATGTAAACCAAGCCTGTTGATTTTCTACATAAATAGGCTTTTGTTATAGGAATTTTCTTTTAATCTAACAAAATGTGTGCATCTACAGATTTAGATTCTCTGATTCAAGAAGAGGTGAACGAGAGAAAGATGTTTGAGGCCGTATGCAGCAGCGACCAGAAGCCTAAAGGTGTTCAGCAGAGGAACCGAACCACCTTCACCCCGGAGCAGAGCACGGCTCTAGAGCAAGGTGACTTCAAATCTCAAGCTTACACAACACTGCGTCTTTCCATTAAGAGAAGCTCACTTTAAAACACGTTTCTATCCCCTGGATCAGAGTTCTCTCACAGCCAGTATGCAGACATGTACATGAGAGAGAAACTGTCCTCCCAAATCAAACTCCCTGAGGATACAATCAAGGTAGAGTCTTATTTTTAAATCATTGAAATTCTCATAGAGATTTACACATTTATCTGATCATATCTTGTCTCTTGAAGGTTTGGTTTTCAAACAGAAGGGCCAAATGGAGGAGGGAGGCCAAACACAGATGTGCCGCACAGAGTAAGAGTGTGTGTCTGTTAATGAAAAGGCCTCGAAAGATTTTGCATAATGGGATATTATTTGACAGAATACATTTCTCCTGCAGATCTACAGAAGCAAAGAGACGTTGTCCCTGTGAATCCAACACTGCCACACAGCTTCACATCTCAACAGGTACAGTGCTAATGAACACTTTGTGAGACAAACGTCAAAAAGTTTCCTTCTGAATCAGCTTTTACCTTTGAGCGATGGAGTCACACTGTACATGAACACACGGTTTTTCACAGATTTTCATCCACCAATCAGGATTGAACGACATTTTAATCAGAATCTGACACCAGTTGGTGTGCTGTTTCACTGTCAATCAAATCTCATCAAACTGATTATTAAGCTAATTAGATGAGTTGTTGAAATTCTTACCAAACAATCCCTAATGTTGCTTGTTTAATATGAATAACGCTTATTTCTTCATGGATATTTAATGCTATAGAGAGACATTTGAAGTGTTTAGGGGTCTAGTGTAGTAGTAGTGTGACAAATAGGAGTCAGTTTGGTTTCTTTTAATGTGGATATTCATTTGAATTGTATTTGTGTCAATTTCAAGGCAACAGGAGCATCAAGAATCTATTGTGAAAACTCAGATGTCTGCCCTACATACAACACAGTTGCCAGGAAATTGCAAAATGGCTACCTCTTCCCGACAGAAACAGGTAATAATCCACACAAATCTATTTTGAGCAAATCAATGTGTTCAGTTAGCTCTGTGGTTTGATTGACTAGATTCTAAAATGATTGTCCACGTCGAAGGTAATGGGGAGTTTACAGAGGAGTGATTTATTGGTATAATATCTATAGTTTGGAAGCACACCAAATTTTACTTTTGGAAAAATACTCTAACCCTAGGAGTAAAAAGACTCCTACATAAGCTCTTAAGTGAACACATTATTTAATTCCTTTTTTTATCTGATTTACAGGTGTGAGAAATTCTGAACATATGACATCCATCTCAGTCCCACCCTCATTCTTCCATCAGTCTAATAACACGATGGCCCAAACCATGGCTGACAAGACTCCACTAGATATTCTCCACAGAGACAGATTCACGTGTCCATTGGTCCAGCATCACACTGACTCAAGGACAACCCTGCCTTTAGCAGCTGAGACCCCCAGAGCCCACCTCCCTGTGATTCAGTGCTGGAACCAGCCGGGCATCTCTTTCACATGGAGTCAGTTCCAACCAGATGAGAGGTTTCTATTCACACAGCAGCCCTGGGATGTGAATGCCTATCTGGACTAAGTGCAGTGTAAAGTAACTAAGTACATTTACTCAATTGCTGTACTTAAGTACAATTTTGAGGGATTTACTTGAGTATTTACACTACACAGTACTTCTATTCCACTACAGTTCAGAGGTAAATTGTGTACTATTACTCCATTACATTTATTTAATACCTTTAGTAACTTTGCAGATTTGGATTAATGATGTGAAATATAATCAACTCTTAAATCAGACTTTAGTTCCACCTGGAGTAAATTCACAAGCTACCCTGCAGTATACAAAGTCATTCAAACTAGCTGCACCTTTACCAGCTTTGATAACACTTTAATGATCAATAATTATAAAACATATCATATATATTATTCTGAAATGGACCAATCAGAATCTGCACAATGACTACTTTTACTTTTGGTACTTTAGGTATGTTTTGATACTAATACTTTTACTTGAGTAACATTTTGATTGCAGGACTTTGACTTGTAACTGAGTTTTCTTACACTCAAGTACTTCTACTTTTACTTGGGTACAAGCACAAGATATGAGTGCAGACTGTAGGGACACATTCTAACCAGCAGAGGGCGACAGAGGACTAGCGTTATAATCTTGTACTTTCCACACATTTTCTTTTCCTTTTTTTTTTTACAAATGCCTTTCCAAATCACTACTCACACTTCCTCAAATCGTGAATTTGCCATTAACAGGGATTACGATAGAAATAAATATCTGCATTTGTTCACTTGTTGACACAATTGATTTAACGCTAAATAAATCTGGATTGAAAAGATAACAATGTGTTTTTTATGAAGTGATGAGTGTTTTAATTTGTGTGAATTTCCAGGAAAGAAGAGAGATATTGTATGCCACGGTGTTATTAAGCCATTGATCAGAGGTTCTGTTTAAAAGGGTTCCGATTTCAGAGGCAACATCTAGTGCCAATAGAGAATATTGAAACAAAAATGGTATTTGAGCACAACTTAACCGGATGCCCTACAGCATTGTGATATACATCATAGCTCCATGGATCATTTAAGGTCACCACTGGATAATATAGAGGTTATCTCCTTTATAGTCTTGAAGGAGGTTAAGGCACTCCTCCAAGTTCTCCTTCAAGGGGAGGCCAGTGGGAGAATCTATAAAAGTAAAGCTCCAAAACGTCTAAACATGACCTGATACCTGCTCTGCTTCGGTATCAGCTTTTATGGCTGCAACAGGGCAGAGGCATTGAGTTCCTGAATATCCCTTTACTGCAGCGAGGAGACGGTAAGACTGAGTTTCTCCATAATTGGTCACCCGAGGAAAGGTTGGGATCAGAATGCAAAGCGCTTGGTCAGCACGAATTGGCCTGCTGGCAGAATGACCTGTTGGCCTGTAACGTACAGTCTGGAGCCAGAGAGGTAAATGACATCTCCACATGACAGTGTGTGTTTGTGTTGGGATTTCTAGTAAATCATCTGTAAGCCTTTTAAATAGATTTAGGTCAGTTATTGAAATGGGAACATGCTTTTTCCTACAAACTCTCTTAGGGTAAGACCAGTGTTACTGTAAGTGGTCAACAACTGTAGTGGAAAGAAACTCACTTTACTCAACTATTCATTATTAAATAATAATACACTTTATATAGCACCTTTCATGCAAGATGCACCCCCACTTACTACAAGATACATACAAATAACAATGAGTAAATAAAAGAACCATAAAACCATAAAACATGAACAGTGATAAAACTAAAATCACCCCAAATAAAATGCCAAATTAAAAAGATAGTTATTTAATTTACTTTGACAAATTCCAATTTGCTGTTCTAAGATCCAATGGGAATGAAGGGTTCTTCTATTCCCATGTTATTTAATGTTTCTAGTGATATTTACTTGTTACTTTACATATTAAGATCACACTATGATAAGGTATGATAAACCTTTAAAATAAAACATAAACCATTCGTTCTCAACATTTTTGGCTTGGACCCCTTTCTTGGGACCCCCTGTCAACAATTGACATGGTTTCGTAACGGTTTGAGATCTACAAGAAGAAAGTGATTTAATATTTCACAAGAAAAGCAAAGATTAGAGAATAAAATGTGATAAAACACAGATTAGTGAAGCAGAGGATCTGTTTTTTTCCTGCCTCATTAATCATCTCAAACAGTTCACTGTGACCCTTTAGAAGGCAACACTAAAAAGCTGCTTGAGAATTGAAGCATCAGTATGATATCATAGGTAAGCCTTTGATAATCTTTCTGCAAAACATGTACTTTTACTTTTGATGCATTGAGCAGATATTGCTAATAACAGTTATGTACTTTTACTTTTACTTGAAATGATGTGTTTTACATTACGTAAAGCTTCTTTTAATGGAGTTAAAGTACTTCTTGCACACCAGCCATTATCTGAATATGATAATTCGACACTACAATATATCTAACAGTTGAAGCATACAGTTAATCTTATTTCACATTGAGCAACAGAACGTTTAAGAGCTGCTGAAAAGCTTATCCAGAGGTTGTGTCACACTCGAGTTTTGGACACCCTCATTTGTTATCCAAACGTTTCTGAAGACAGGTTATTATTCATCTCCTTCAGTGGATGTTTGTATGACCTCTGTTGCTTTCAGACACTTAAGAATATTCATCATGCAGCAGAATTTGCTGCTCTGACTGACTCAGAGAGTAAACTGCCAAAAAGCGAGAAAACAGATAAGTGTGTGCTGTTTCTTTGAACAAATTACAAATGAGTCTCCTTGCCAGCATTGTGAACCCGGATATGTTGCAGTTTTATGTTAGAAATAAGACAATTCTGGCGTGGTTTTTGATGTTATTGAGGATGCTGAATCAAATTCTGACATTAATACAGTTTTGAGTCCCCTAAAACTTTAAAATCGAACCAAAATCCATCAAAATCAGCCCACCAGGAGTACAAATATGGCCAAGATGATGATCAGAAACTGATTCAACACCCTCAAAAACCCCTCCAAAAGTGTCCATATTGGTCAAACCATTAAAAAAACTATTGTATGCATATGCTAATTAATGCCACTTATGCTAATTGTGCACATTTCCTAACATATGCAAGTTAGCATCTGGCAGTTTCTTTGTGCAGGGGACCTGTACTTGACATTGCTAACATAAAACTTTGGGGTACAAAGAAAGTACAAAGTAAAGCTCAGTAAAATGTCAGTTGTTTATTAAAATAGGAATAATACATAGATACAAAATAAGTCATAGATATAAAACAACTCACTAACACAAAATAGCAGCTGTTATATTTAAAGTTTACAGTATACAAATATATAAACAGAATCATCATGAAGAAAAATACTTAAGTATACTATTTACAAAAAGGACAAAGTGTAATTTACAGAATGCACTGTGCTATTTACATTAAGGTAAATTAAATAACATTATAACTCCACGAGAGCACAGCTAACAATTTACATTACAATTATGATCTGCCACATAACCAAGATTACGAGATCTTTGGTTCAGTTGCCTTTAATTCATCTCTCTTATTACTTCATAGACTTTTGGTTTTAACCCGTGCAAGGATAGAAGACGATTGCATTTTTTCTCAAAGTACGATTAAGGCCACAGTTATAATTTAATTGCATAGTTATGGTCATTGAAACCAACCAAAGGCAAAAGGACTTAAAGGCTTATCGGAAATCCCCCAATATTAGTTTATTGCTATGTAATGATTTCCTTGTGATATTCAGAACAGTCATTTTGGAGCTGATCTTAAAATATTAAAATACTTTGTTTAACTTTGGCAAAGGAGCCACACAAATATGAGTAAAATGAAATACTTTTGATGCTAAACGAGCTGGGATGTTTGGCATAATTTAGGACATTTAAGGCAATATCTGGCATTCAGAAGCTTTTACTTTTCTGGTCAAAGACATTTCTAAGAGAAACATATCGTCTTGCTACTTTCAACTCCTCATCAGAACCTGTATTGTTTCACGTATTCGGCTTAAAACTTTGTTTGTGTTTTCTTTTGTTTGGTAAATAAAATCTTCATGCATGTTAATGTAATGCCTATGTCTAATGCCTATTGTTTTCATACCTTTAACCTGCTAGAATATCATTATGATATGATTAAATGACAAGTTTTACATGTTTGTGCATGTGTACGTATGTGTGTGTATATGCACAGTAAATACATGATAAACTCTAGGCAGAACAATATTGATTTAGCCTGCAACTACATGTAGCACTCTTGAATGAAAGAAACCTGGAGTTGCTGTACTGTCACAGAGCATGTACTTCCATATTTGTGTAGCTAACATGTAAGTTAAACATGCACCCAAATTATCCTGGGGTCATAACTCCCTAATGAGAAAGGAACAAAAATCTAAATATCACAAGAAAATCCTGATTGTTCTCAAACGATGTTTTCCTCTAATTAAAAAAATAAATATACCTACATAGCTACCAGTCTCTTTAAATATCGAACACAATCACGAAGAAGACAATCTGACATTACTCAGTGAACCAAAAATATTCCAGATCTATAAGACCTATAATATCTCACAGCACAGCAGAAACATACTCGATAAATCTGCAGTTATGTACATAAGGAGTAAACCAAAAAAGAAAACTATAAAATATCCTACTGACCACAAACAGCCCACCAGGGGCCAACGTTACCTCCAAACTGGAGACCAAATAGCCATGTTTTATTTGGCATGGCTCTTCTCTTTCTCACGCTACAAATATTAGCACAAGATTTCGGAGAAATTCGCCCAGTCCTACACAGACCCTCTCGAGGGGAAACTAAACGTTACAGCTAACTGGGGAAAGGTAGTCCGGCTACTGCACACAATTAGCACGGCATGTTTGCCAAGGCTTCTGCAGTTAGCTTCAAGCAGCAATAGTGTGTTTTATGTACCTAACTGCTGGTTTATCTAAAGCCAGATTTGAACATTTGCTGGACTCAGAGGAATAGGCTTAGCACTATTTTTGATTTGGACTTTTAGTGTCTGTACTACCTTATAGATGACCCTTATTTCCCCCTCCTTTTTGGCATTACCTTAACTCTTTGTAGAATCATTTCAGAAGCTGAATAATGTATATATTTCTTGCTTTGCTACACTGAACAAACCTAAACAATGACTTGAATTAAGTGTCAACACATTTCCCACAACTGTATGAGGTTAGTTGAAAGTTATTATATTAAGTTGAACCTAATTATTTGTATTTAAACTTAATATTAGTGTTTTTTCAACTAACCTAATACAGTTAGGTGAAATCTGTTGACAGAATAGATTTAATTAAAGTCAACGTCTTAGATTTGTAACGATGAAAAACAAATGTAATCGTTGACTTAAATGAATGTATTATGTCAACAAATTACACAACCTAATTATGTGGAACCTGTTGTCATAATACATTTCGTTAAACTCAATGTTACATTTTTGTTCAGTGTAAAATGTATAACCAGATTAGTACATTTGTTGACATTGAAAAACAATTATCCATCCACATCATTTGTGTTGAAGGCAATAAAAATAGGTTCTGCAGTTCAGCTCAACACATTAAAAAGAAAGAAAAGTCCCAGTCACAGGAGGGTTCCACGTGCGGAAACCTCTAGACATGTGGGTTCTGTCCATATTCAAGTATATTCCAGGAGATAATACTGAGTCACAAGGGTCATTCTCATTGTCTTTGTTTGCATGGCTTCAGAAATTCTGAACATGTCAAAATACAAATAGTTTGCCGTGCATGTGCCCAAGACTTTGTTTTTTTCAAAATGATAAGGCCAGGATGTCTTCTCTTGCAAATTGGAAGAACAAATGAAAATCCATTTCCTTCATCCAGTCTTCTATCGCTGTCATCATCTTAAAATGAAAAATTCTGCCACAAAATCCCAAAACGGCCACTTTCCATTCGGGGATTTTCCTTGTTTCTTCCTCGTGGTCCATTTGATCTTCACACCACACTATCAGTTCCTCTCCAAACTGGGGTAAAGTTTGAACACTTTGTATATCCACTCAGAGTAGAAAGCGACGTTAACAAAGAGCGCAGGCTGCGATGACGCACATTTTGTCCTTTGGATGCTCACGCCAATTATCACTTTACGCTCATGTTCCTGGCAAACCAATGGACCACCATTGTCTTTCTGCAAGACAAATGGGTAAAGCATGAAGCATTAGAGAAACAGTACAATAAGAAGGACTTTATACAAAACTCCAATGTCTCAAACTCTGATACAAGGCCTAAAATATGAGTTCAAACACATTTCCATTCAACCTTCAATGGTTTCTGGTTTCATTTGCCACTTTTTAGATATTCCTCTGTTGCCACCACAATGAAATGAGAAATATGGAAATATTTCAGTTGGAAATTGGAAAGTCAAGATGATCTACAGCTTTCGATGTCAACTATTTTCATTGGGACTACTTCTTCAGGAGAAAGTAGTTCCAGTGAAAACTCTAGATGCTGGCTTTTTATTGGGCAAAATCACCTTTTTGGTATTATATACTTTAATGTTGCATTGAGGGTTGTTTTTGTTCTTACATCACATACGCCTTCTCCTCTCTTGCCGCCGGCACATATTCTGCTTTCTCCAGCGTCCCCTTTGATTTGTGAGCACATTTCGTTGTTGACCATGGGCATGGTCAGTGTGTTCAGCGCCTCATCGTATCCTGTGTCTGGACAGAAAAGGATACGCAGTGTGATTGTTGAATCCTACTAATATTATTTTGGTCTGAGTTCAAATGCAAGGTGGCATGCCAAATGTGGGAAAGAAGGCAGTACTTTTGGTTTCCCCCCATCCATACATGGTGCAGTTGGTGCCTTCAGGGATGTGACACTCTTTCACTGGAAGATGAATTGTAGAGGCACCTTCAGACACAGGGGCAGGACTACAACACAAATAATAATAATTATAATTAGTTCACTTATAAAACAAACAAAACAAACGCACATAAATAAGAACCACATACAGCCAATAAGAACATTTTCTTAGATCATTAAAAATTGATGTGAACGTGTTGCATTATCAGAGATACAATAGATTAAAAAGTTGTTCATATAACCAGTTATGCTCTAACATTAGGATCTTAAATAGGTGAAAGTGCAATGAAATGTTGACATTAATTTAACATTTTTTCAGTGTGAGTAGTTAAGAACTTACTCTTCTAGTTTTAGCATAACCAGGTTGGATCCTTCGGGGCCACAAATCAGGCGAGAGATGCGTAGTCCCGGGTGGTTGGAGGATTCGTTGAGGTGGCGCACTCCAACCTGCACACTGTAATCCTTGAGATCTGGAACACTGAAGCCAACAAGGACCAAGACGTAAGTCGTAAACCTACAGTAATGTTTCTTATATATATCGGTAATTGGTCCTGAAACGTAAAACTTCACCAGAAAGCATGCTTAAAATGTGGAGTTTGAAAGAGGTGGACATTTAGGATGATGCAAAATGCTATGAAATATGCTATGAAGTTGGGATATTTTATTATAATAAATGTTTTGACTAGTCACAAAAAGTAATATTACACATTACTTACAACACGTTAAACAAGGAAATCCCACAATTAACGATTCATTGTTTGCAGTTCTTCATGAAAACATTTTAAATATAAAAATATACTGTGTATTACTTTCAAATTACCCTTTATGCAATATGTTTTAGATGGACAACATCTAAAAGAAAACATGTTTTTGTAGACACACACCAGTTTCTCTAACTATCAGCTTAAAGCCATTGATGTATACCATATGGAATACATACAGAACTGTACCTAACTACACAGATAAGGACATTTCCTCAAAGCCAGTACTTCAGATGAAGAGATATCATATTATGTGACTGGCTCTGACATAGAAAACTACAGAAGTTAAACATTTCTGCTCCATATCTCAGGTCAGGCTTGTCTGGGAGGGAGTGCACTAGTAAACAGGATAATCCTGCATCTTTACAGTATTCAAAAGGAAAGCAGCAAGAAAAACAGAAGCAATTTTGAGAGAAAGATCAAATGGAAGAGGTTAACAGGAAAAGTATTTTGTCAGACAGAAACATTGGTGGAGTTTTACCAGGAGGTGAAGCACTGTTGATCCGTCAAAACCCAATCTTCTCTGATCAACGAGCCCCCGCACAAATGAACCTTCCTAAGGAAATTTAAAAGAGACAATTTTGCCATTACAGTAGGTATAAGAGCATAAAAAGGGACACATGTTTTAAAAGCACAGATGTAAATGGACTTACTCTCTTTGGATGCTTACAACCCAGCTGCCATCTGTACCCCGCACTTGGTGTCCTCCAACTATTCTGGTGTTTATATGCACAAAGCATGATATCTTGGTGTCTGTTGGAGCTGAACAAGAACACATTTCATCCTGCATGTTAGATGGATATATGATTTACCTTGACAACAACAAAAGGCAACCATAAAATATGATTTGTTTAGTCAGGAACATGACAACAGACGGATTTGATTTAGGAAGTAAAAATGCAAAATGAAGATTAGAGATCAGAGGAAGAGGACTAGACCGGTAAGAGCCAGATAAGTCAAAGCGATACTTACTGTTGGGTTGAGGAGACACTGTGGCTGATTCACCTGATAGATGTAAAGAAAAGCAGAACTGTAAGAAGAGAACCAACAGCAGCAGGACATTATTTAGACCACTGACCATACATTGACACATACAAATGTAAAACCTAATTGAAAGAGAAATCCTTCTTTACTTTACTCTGAATCTGAGTAGTTGTTGGAGGCTATAACCGTCAGCAAATACATTTGCTGAAGACCTCAAAAAAAGTCTCGATTGATATGTTTTACATTATGTAAATTATTCTGCAGCCATTTGAAAGGGGCTCTTCATTGCGACCAGATTGAAACCAGACAAAGAAAATGTTGTGTCGAGCCTCCTGAGTGTTTCTCCAATAAAAAGATGGCAGTAGAGACCTGCAGCTGTTTGATGTTTAAGCAGTGTGTATTCTCTGCCAATTGGACAAAACCACAGTTTACAGATTATAGAAACCACCAGCCAAAGATGTTTAAAAACACAGTTATGACATTTGAGTTGAAGTCAACAAAGGGGAGAAAGCTAAACCACTTACTATTTTTACTTACTCACTTTATTCTTTAAAGCAGAAATGTTTTACTTTCGTGTAAAAAGCTGGGATTAGAGTTGGTAGTGTTTAAATAATAGCCTACAGTCTTTGTGTTTGCTTGGAAGATTAAAGGGGCCCGGGCTGCTAATCGTCCCATGATGAGAGTACAATATCTTCTTTTGGCACATCTATAATTTTCCTAAACTTGGTGAGACTAATTATTCTTGACAACTATTTTGCTTTTGTTGTTGTGATTTGTTCAGAATCTGGTGCAGAAACACCCTAATATAGTTGTCCCATTGTTCCTGAGCTTATGGCATGTTGCAGACAAGTAGTCTTCATTTCCGAGGATGCATAAAAAAAAACTCTGACCGCACATGTGGTAGTCGTCAAGTGCATTCATATTTTTTTGAGCTGTTTTCAGACTAATGAAAGGTGCCAATTGGAATTTAACCCCAAATCCACACCTGCTTTCTCTAGCAAATAGCCAGGTGTCCACAGGTGTGAAAATGTACAGAACTCCTAAGTGGGTTATCATTTTTTCTCATCATTCTACCCATTCAATATGTACACATAGACTTACTCTGCATCTGTATTGGCAGACAAACTGTACATGTGCAATGCTTTCAGGAATGTGTCCAAAACATGGATCAACAATTATGGAAAAACAACCACTTCATGTTTCTGGATTCAACTCTTTTAGCCTGTTCATAGTCACATGCACATTTTTATATCATTTTCCAGAAAAGTAAACAATGCTTCCAAGCTCCTTCTGAAATATCTTCTTTATTAACAAGAACCTTTAGCATTTTGGAAAATGTTCTCTATTTTTTGTCAAGAGTTAAAAGAAAAGAATGATACCAGATACATCTGTCTGTACGCAAATAGCTAGCTAGCACTCTGTTAGCTTAGTTTAGCACAAAGCCTGGAGACAGCTAGCCATGTTTTGTTAAAAGATAACACAATTATTCTACCAGCACCTCAGAAGCTCACTTATTAACATGTTCTGCCTTGTGTGTATATTCTTTCAAATAGTTTAAAAACTAAATGTTGTGGTTTTCCAGCAGTTTTAAGTTTTTTGAGCTAAACTATGCTAATCAGCTGCTGGCTCTGGCAGCATATTTACCATACAAGTATGAAAGTGGTAGGCCTATCGGTATTTTTTTTACCGAACTGTTTGCCAGGATTTTTATAAAATTGAACTACCCCCTTAAGGGAATACCAAGTAGATATTTTAAACATCAACAACAACCCTATACAACATCAAAAACAATTCACGTCATTTCTACCATGGTGAACTAAGGGTCTGCTAATATCTATGGCTGACACAACACAGATGTATCTATGTATGTTATAGATACATTAAAGAGATTAGGTATATTAAAGCCACTCACAGTGCTTCAGTTTGCAGTAGTCCCAGGCCAAACGGTTATTTGGATTAGTGTAACACCAGGGGCCATGTTTGTCCCGGTCCGGGTTCCGGCAGTAATTCCTCTCCAGCCCTACATGGGATTCTGTAGAGTGAGAATCCCCACTGTAAAACACACAAATACAGATTCTCATGTTCCATTTGTTATTCTGCACACAGTGTATCAGAACCAACACTGGGCCACGTCTCATGAAGATTCATACACACTTTCACTCTAAAAACAGAGCATCTGCACACATGGGGGATCACAAGCACCATCACACACATACAATGCGTACACACTGTAAGTAACCATGGTATGCCTGGAAAGTCTGACTCTAGCTTTCCTGTAGTGCAATGAATCCTCTGCATTCGCTACACAGAGCCCATAGAAGGAAACACAGAGTTTTGTGAACAGTACTCATGGGAGTTTGAAAGTATGCACTCTAAGCATGCAGCAGAGCTCAGACCAGCAGGAGCCACATCCTCTATGAAATGATTCCGTTGTCCATCCGCTTTGAAGGAATTCACATTTAATTGTGTGTCTTTATGCAATGTTTAACCTCACTTAGATGGGATCTTCTCAGATATCCAAAATATCACTGAGAAGCAATTACTCGCTAGGAGTTTGGACACACACACAGAAACATAATGTTAAGCGATGGCCGGCAATTTGTCAGGAGGTGAAGATAATTCTACTTCCCAGGAGATTGTTAAACAAGCTGTAGCGTTCAGCAGTTTTTCCTTGGATGACCCTTGACCTTGAGCAGGGTAGACTCGCTGGCTGCAGACTATGCAAGGGAGCTGATTGGCTTTGATCTACTTTCCTCAGAAAGCACTTCCTGGGGTCAGGGGTCTGTTCTGGAACATGTCTATCTGTCTGTGCCATTTTGGCTTTTAAAATTCCTGTAAATTAAGTAATTCCAACAGCCTGACTTAAGCATGAAGCAACAACCCCGGAGTGGGCAACCTTTCCGTCAGGATGGGTCACTTGGAGAGCACCCCAGGGTTTCCTCTTGTCAGTTAGATGAATAATAATTGGTCTTGGTATTGACCCCTGAGGAACCCCTGATTTCCTCTTGCTGTTTGTTTTCACTGCTGAGCTTCATGCATATGAAAGGGATTTTCACAAGGCAATGGGAGCTGAGCCCACAACAAACCCTCAACTGAACTGAAGAGTTTGTCGGCTTGAATGGGAGTTAAGGGAAGAAGCTTTAATGCAGAATAATTTCTTACCTGTTTATGTGATGAGACCAGTCTGCACAGGGAATCCCCGATCGAGTTATGGATAACGTGCCCCGGTACGTCTCTCCGCTTTCATAACACTCTGATAAAGAAAGGGATATTATTATTTTAGACAATCTTTTTCAAAGTTCCCAGGAGAGCATATAATTACTTAGCCCAGCAGTTTCCCAAACACTTAAATGCAATCAGTGAGTGAGCAATACTCTAAGAACTACACATATCACACAAGTGGTGGCTGTCTTTCTCATTGATGCAAAAATAACATAATCATGTTCAGATTTTTGGCTTTCTCTTTGGGGTTTGGATGAATTTAATGTCAAGGGCCCTTTTGAAAATGGTGGTAGACTTGTTTAAACCGAATCAGAAGTAGGCCTGTGGCAACTCACAGACTTGCTGCAGTTTTTACACGTTTAGTCATCTGACTGTAAATGTAAAGCAGAGAAACATGGGAGATGACAGAGAGCCGAAGTAGAGTATTATGTTTTTGTTCTTCCATGCAATGGAATTCATAGGGCAGCATGCTTCCAAGTGGTCCAGTCCTACGGGAGCAATATGGAAAGCATCTGTCTAACTTTGCAAAAACATGACATGGCTTGCAGCATTTGTAGTTCTTTAGTTCAATCACATTATTCAAGGAAACAACATGATTACTTTTTTTTGATATGCTGCTTGGAAAACAAGGATACTGTTAAAGCTGCGGTTGTTAACTTATATGTAACATATACCACTGTCATAACTGTAACGTGTATATGAAGCTACAGACCCCAGTCTTCTTAGCTTTACATACAGATTGAGTACAGGTGGAAATCAGCAACGATAAAAAATTAATAAATAACACATCACATCTTGTTAATGTATGTTCACTGTTTGCCAAGAAATAGATGCAGCCCACAGCTCCCTGTAAAACCACTGTTTTTCATTTCTGTTTCCAGATTGAAACCATAATTATTATTTTTTAAAGTCTTAGTAAGCTTTAATACTAGAAGAAAGCAGGTTTTCCCTTGTTCTAATATCTGTGCTGCATAATTTCCATACATTGATGGGACTGGTATACATGTTTCTCATCTAAAGCTTGGCAGAAAACCGAATCAGCATATTTCGACAAATGTTGAACTGTTCGTTAAAAGTTATACAAAAATGTTACCTATTTTTTGTGTGGCCTCAGCATCACACCTGGGGATGTGGGTGCAGTTGGCTATCCTCTGATTGGGGTCTGTAGTGAAGCACCATGGGTGATCGGCGCCATCAGGGTTACGGCAGTAGTTCTCTGTGAGGTCTCTAAAACACATACACAAACTACAATTTAAATGATGGTGCTGAATTAGTTTGCAAAGCTATCCTTTTTATGTGTCAGGCTCATCACTATTTTGAAATGCAGAAAATGAATAAATCACCTCCTTCACATGGCAGAAAAAAGTTAATTTAAGCTTTGAGAGTCCATGAATTAAACATTACTCACTTGCATTTGAAGTTCTGGGGAAGAAAGGAGTGGTTATGGGGCGACTGGGAGTCCCAGCGCTGACATGTCACACCCTCTGGAGTGACATTCATTGTGCCTCGGTAATCTGTTCCTTTTCCCTGGACACAGGATGTTGTTACATTGACATCTGTGTCCTCACTTGAGTCAGAATCTAGCCAGAAAAATACATAGAAATTGTATTTGTGAGTGTAAGCATGAGAAAGAAGGTTGCTAAAGAGATTTAGAAACTGAAGATAGGAGAGAGGGAGGGAGATATTAATCCCCAGAAGAATGTGTCATGTTTAACCTAGAGACAGATGATCAAAAACAGTAGCACTCCCCCCTTGCCTCAACTGCGATAGGAACTTTCTGTGTATTCATAACATGGGTGCCCCACATTCTTGCACGTAGGGACATCAACAACAATATGAAGTTATTTCACCCAATATGTCAGAGATCTTTGTAAGAAAAACTTGGAACGTGATCATAACGAATATATCTTTGCCTCAACATTAAACAATGTTAGTGAATCGGTGTATTGCAGCCCAACCAAAGATTTCACAGCCAACCCGCTCTGGCTGGGGCAACTTTATCCACCGGAAAACTATTCTAAACATCCTCAGATGGAATTCTGCTTTTCGGCATTGCAGGGATAGCAGTACATGGGGAGCAACTTCTCCCCTCTGGATTACTGTCTCTGTTTCTTTAGCCTTTGACAAATGAGATGGGAGAAGATGGAGGAGGAAAGGGGAATGAAAGGCAGGAACGAGAAGGCTGATGGAGAAGAGGGATTCCTTGGCTTGATGCAATGCATGCCAGTGTCTGTGTGCGCGGCGTACTACAGGTCATTGGTTTTTATCTTTCTGGGGGCAGGCATTGAGGGATGCACACATCTGGATAAATGCAGATCCTCTGCCTTCGCTGTAAATCACACCATATACTGTAAAGTCAATGTGTGTATGTGTGTAACAGAGACAAAAAGAGATGCTCTGCGTGTTTGTGGGTGAGCATGCGGGAATATTTCCATGTTCTTTCAAAGGAAAACATAATAATTCTGTATTCTCTTTTTGGCATCCATTCTTTTCTCTTTCCCTCTGTATTTGTGTTTGACTTGTAAAGGCAAAAGTTATCTCAATTACATCTTGGTCAGACACTGCCAAATGTGAAATGAGTCAAGGGAGGTGACTCAAGCTTCCATATGCTCAACATACGACAAAAAGTGTTTACATACAGCCATAACAAATACAATAGGGCAATATTTAAAATAGAAAAATGTTCAAATAATTGATTTGATTGATAATTTTGCAACTTCTTAAGGACAACCAAGTAGTTGTTTGGTTGTGATCGTGAATAGTCTTCACATGTATTGTTTTCATTGTAGATCTTGTAGATGCTTATGTAACCCCGGTTCTCTGAGTAACACAAGCAAGATGTCTCACAAATGTTTTGATTATGGTGTCAGACAGCGCGTCAATCCAAAAGCTTCCACAGGTCATTGATATCTGGCCACAATATATTTCACATCACTTAAATCAAACCATTCAGGGACCATTTGTTTCTGGTCATGCATGGCAGCATCTGCATGAAAACTGTTCCTCCACTCTAATTTTCTTTTTATCAATAATCTTCAAACCACCAAAACATTTATGAGGCCTTCTGATGGCCATGTGACGCATCCCTGTATAATAGCCTCCATTGTGGCTTTCCATATTACAGCTCTTTGTGATCCATCAGTGGTTTCAGTCAAACACTTCTGGCTCTCTGAAGTCAGACCCCCCCCTTAACAAACAACCTATTTACTCTTCCTTGTTGAGGTGAAAGAATTTGAAGCCAAGTGCCACATGAAACACTCTGCCGGGTAAACAAAAGCATTATGGGACTCGGCAGGAGAGAAAAAGGGATGTTATTACTTTCTCACCACAACCACCAAAGTCCTGTATGTATTAAACCTCCTGGCGCCCCCAACCCACAAGCTGGTAGAACTCAATTGCATTCTGTCTGTCTGTCCTAAAAAAACAAGATCCAAATGCCCCGTTCACTTATGAACCCTATGATGTATATGTAACAATGAGTTTGTGACGGTACTAGACTGAGAAAAAACTAGCAACTGAGTCATAAATCAGTTAAACAATAATTTGGTCTTTAGTTGATGACTTTGTCTACAAAACCCAAGCCCCAGGAGTGTATACAGTACGTAGGCCCTTACCACACACAGAGATGTTGCAGTACTCCCACGGAGTTTTAGGATCCACCGTGTAGCACCAGGGACGAAGGCGATTATCTGGGTTACGGCAGTAGTTGTCCTTTAAATCTTTCTGTCGATACCTGAGAGAGGAGACAGAGTGGATACAGCGAGGAAAGAAAATAATGTTGGAGGGAAAGACGTAAGTCATAACAACTGGTGAGGTCTACCTCTCCTGAGTATTAGCGTTAGTTATTTAAGCATCTGTCATGGGTGTGTGCAGCATTGTCCGTGAGAAGGGTTTTTCAGCAGGATTACCAGCTTTGCAGCTTACTTTTTGGGTTGGAAGTGGTGTTTGTGAGGCCTTGTTGAGTCCCATCTCTGGCACTCCTTGCCACTCTCTGTTTGGTCCATTTTCCCCCGGTAATCTTCACCATTGCACGTAATACAGACTTCTGTTGTCAAAAAATACAACATTAATTAAATAACTCTTTCTTCTAGTAATGAATACACACAATTCAAGACTTCAAGAAGGAAACAAGGCTCCAGCTAACTGTAATCTTCAGATTATCTTCTCAATAAATCACTTAATCTATAAAGAGTCAGGAAAAAGTGAAAAATGTCCATCCTGGTTTCCCATAGAACAATCTTTATATGTACTTTTGTCAGTCCAGAATGCAAAAATATTCAGTTATAAAATAAAAAAACACAAAAAAACAGTAAAACTCTACAGTGTATACGAGACTAATCGTTGCTGCTCTAGAAAATGAATTATAGAAACATTAATGAAATGTTTCAACACCTCTGGAAAGGAACATGACAGTAACTCCCTAACATGATTCTGCGTTATTTTGGACACATTTTATTGGAGTGATGTTTTTGTCTTACCTTGTGAACACTGTGGCAGGCCACACTCCTCGGCTCGTACGTTGGGATCTGTAGTGTAGCACCACGGACCACCAGGATCGTTGTTGGGATTTCGACAAAAGTTCTCCCTCAGGTCTTGCGTTGGGTACCTATCAGGAGAAAACCTACAGGGGAGGAGACATAAATTATTGACTATGTTACTGATACTGTAAGCTGTATAAATACATTTCAGGGAGTACTTGCACACTTGGCTGCTCCAGTGGTGTATACATCACCGTACCTGCCTGCAAGTGCTCTCAGTAACAGCCCAAATGAATTCAAAAGGCATATGCTTAACATATAAGCTTCATTCTGAGAACCGCTAGTGCCTACAGGGTGATCAGGTTACTTTTACAATTCTAGAATGACTAGACACATAAATCGTATGCAAAATATGTCATCGATAGCTCCTCAGGTTTGCACCTTTTGCATGATCGCATTACCGATTCCTACCATATCCCAGCTCCATCATGTGTGAAGCAGCCAGATTCCGTCACAGCACAGTAACAACCAACAGCACAGAACAACGCCACGAACCACTTGGAACAGACCAAGCAGCTCTTTTGCTGGCAGCCTTTGAACACGTTTAAACCTAATTCCTCTCTGTCACCTGCAACCTCACGTCAGTGTGAACAGGCGAATGTAAGAAAAAGAACCTGGCCTGTCTTAACATATGGGATGTAACAACGAGCAGCCGCATGGGTCCCCCCATACTAAATGGACAGTGTGTAAAATGTGTCTAATGACATGGCAGGATGATGAAAAGCTGGCTTGTCAGCACCTCTTGATCCATGCCGACCACATTTCCCCCATACCACCAAGGAAGACAGAGAGGGAAGACAGGAGAAACAGTTAAGGTCATAGAAGAAGGGTGGAAGGGAACTGGGAAGAGATTGACTTCAGCTAAAGGAAACATGAGCTGAATGGAGTATAAAGACGAGATTCATTGTCTAATTGATGATGTAAAAAGAAACAACATGTGCAGGAAAGGGAAAGAATGATAAGTCCACCCACCCTTCAGCAGCTTCTCTGAACACACCAACCCAGACAATGACTGTTTTCTAGGGGGAGACGGCTCTGCTCTCCCCTCCGTGCCCTGGGGCTTACGCAAGGATTCAACACTAATGCACAACATAATTCAACCCAGAACTACAAGAAATCTCAGGCATCTAACTTAGCCAAAAGTACCTGAGCTAGAGACCCTAGTCCCAAATACAGAGAAATATAACAGGGTTAAGTCTAACAGCAACATTTCACTTGCTGTATCTACAACAGAAAAGTGCCAAAGCTCACATCTGTTGTGTGTTATTCAGTATATTCCTATTATAATACACTATCCTTAATTTATAAATGGGATTACAAGGTACCTCACTCACAAAAAAAGGTTGCATCTGGTGAGAGTCCGTAAATGCCGCTGCATGGAAGCAAGTTAGCCATAATGATGTTACACTAACAGATGTTGGCCAGTTATTCATCTCCCTGCCAAGGTCTGTTCCCACCGGAGCGCAGACACACATGCTTCCCTCTCTGGGCCAGGAAAACATATTGGCTAGATTTTGTATATCACTAAAGAAGAAATCTAGTTCTGAAGTAACTGCTGCAAAATGTGTAGCCACATGCACCTGGAACAAAGATAGTCATGCTTCAATGCTACAGGATCCAAAATAATAATTGTCCTGAAGGTTTTTACATTTTTGAAAATGTGCTAATTCACTTTTGTTTGGTTTGTATAGCGGACAAGAAAGGAATTAGCACTGTCATATATATCTGTTAGCTACAGTATGATGCAACAGTTAGGAGACAATTAGCTTAGCTTAGCTTAGCGTAGCCTAGCTAAGTTCAGTTCAGTTCAGAATGGAAACAGCTAACTCTGTCAAAAGGATTAAAAAACTCTGCCTACCTGCAACTCTTAAGCCCACAAATAACATGTTGCAATTGGAAAAGCCTTAGCTGTTTCCCCCTGTTTCAGGTATTTTTGCTAAGCTAAGCTAACTTGCTGTTTATGATAGCTTAATTTTTGCTCTACAGACATGAGAGTAGTAGCCTATAATATTTTCTCTGCAAGAGGCTGTGTGTCTCTGTAGCTGAGCGTGCTTGCTGACCTCCCTGTAGAAATGTGTAGAAAAACAAATGTCCATATGGGAATAAATAAATGATTGCAATGTTATCTATTATTGAACAAAAATGTTCCATTCCATTCTCTCTGCTTGGCTGGGCATCAGTACAGTACATACTTTGTCCAGAGCCTTGGTTCAAAGACTAAATATAGACAACAGGCGGAAGTCCCATTCGTGAAAGGGAACCTCCTGAGAAATCACCCCTGCCCCACGGTGATCGGTCAAGCATGAAAATAATAGTTACCCGAAGCGCCAATGGTGCGTGGTTCATTACGGTGGTAATTCTCAAACAGCGGGACAGTCCCATGTTAGGTAACCTCACAGTGGCACTAAATCTGCCTCAAGGAAAGCTCCCTTTGACCCCATGGTTGCTGACAAGCCAGGGCAATGTAACATTTGCACTGGACTGTAAACGTGTGTCAAATAAACAGTGACAAAGGATTCCCAAATGCTTCTGTAAATGGAGCTGAGAAATACAGCAGAGGAGATGATAGCGATCAACACTGCCATGTGTTTTAATTGTGGGGGATCAATGAACTTTTATTTTCTCTCAGTATGTCTGTGGTTTTATGGTCTCAGCTGGGAAACAGACAAAACATGACTCCAGTCAATAACATGTTGGCTTTCTTTCTTTCATTGTCTCCCTTTTGTCTATGTTTCCCTCTGCACTCCTTCAAACCCTTATTAGTCTGTCTCTTAAACCCCTCCTTGCCACCATTAAAATATCTTGTAACTAATGAGCCCCACTAATAAGAGGCTGGCACAGCACCATCGTCACAAATCCACTAATCTTGCCATGACTGAAGCCAAGAGAGAACGGGATACACCTGATGGCCTGCAGTGCAGCAGAAAAACAACCTCGATGGAAGGACATCCCTGCATGTGTTGAAAGAAATCTGACTTATTCCTGGCTAAACGTTCATCCGTCTCAGAGCCTCTGCCTTCCCTTAACCCCAGAGGTGGAAGGGGATGATCTGAGCATCTATAAATCAGCTGCTGAGGCCTGTTCAATATCAGACACAGAGAAATAGAGAAGGAGCATCCAGAAAGGTGGCGGAAGCCTAAAGATTAAAGAAACAGATTTGAAAGCCTGTTGGTTTAAATCCACAGGAATCTGGCAGGGGGGAATGATTACCACCTTGCACTCCTTAAAAAGTGTCCTCAAGCACAGCACTGCACCCTCAAGGTATCACACAAGTGTTTGTTACCATTCCTTCTCTTGGATACTCCCTTTTCCCTCAACAATTTCCTCTTTGTACTTTGTCTTGATAAAAAAGAGAAAACTTACGTGTGTTCATTGATGTTATTATCTGACCAAGCTTGGCAAGTGATGTTTGACTTTGTCCAAGATCTTCTCCCTCTGTAGTTGTCCTTGGTGCCGATGATACATTCCCTTATATAATCTGTGTAAGACCAAAGGGAAAAAAAGCATTTGAAAACATTTCAGCATTCATGTTCTCGATTTTACAAGTTGTCTCTGTGTACTCATGTGTGCAAACTTACACATCGTTTAGTCATTTAATAGTCGAGTTGGTTCACTGCTATGAACACCTGGTATATATTTTCCCATATATGGTCAATAAGACTTTTCTACAGCGAACGTTTTAGTATGTCCCAGCTTGTTTGTTATTCCAAAAACAGACAACTCCCTGAAGTTCATTAAATGTCACTGGGGGGAGTTTCCCTACATTTTGCAGTAAATTCAAGAGTGCTAGATTCCACAGTCTTCACCGGAGAAAGGCTTTGCGTTCCAAGTGTAAACAATGAATTTTTTTGTTTACACTCCACTTAAGTCTGCTACGGGTCGTGCAGCTCTCTCCACTGGAGTGATTAAACAGCAGGAGGTTGAGGTGAGTTAGTTGCTTTTATTGTGTCAACAGAAAACCGAAAGACCTTAAAAAGCCGGGAGCCGACGCAAGAAGCACAACCTGCAATCACTTACAAATAATTTGCTTGTTTAAATCCGTCGGCCCTTGAATGTTCTCAAGAGAAAAAAACATAATTTATGCCTCACAATTTAATGCCATTTACCTTTTTTTTCATACAAAGTAAAGTTGACGTTGGCTTGCGTCTGCACACCATGGGTGAAGCGGTCAAAAGGAAGCAAGTGGCATTTCCTGTCGTGCCGCTGAAAGTTAAAAGCCCTGTGGAAACATCGGGGAGAAGTAATTGGGAGATGAACAACTGATAAACAACACAAATATGTAAATAGTGAGTCAACACAGGGGGGAGAGGAGTGAGGGGAACACAGGCGTATTTCAGGGAAACATAGAGAGTAAAAGGAAGCTGACCTGCAGTTGAAGTTTTTCTTGACCTTCTTGCACTTGCGGGCGCAGTTTTCCAGCGACCGGCTGCCTCTAACCAAAGGGAGCTGAGGGCAGTCTGTGCAAACCAGCATGTGACCTTCACTCTTCTCATACTTCTGTAACGACTGACGAGTCCTTTTACAAAAACCTGAAAGGACACAAGATCACATCATGTTATCTGCATGTTTTGGTACAGCCATTGGATTCGTTTGAGAATTGCTAAAGCCAGGTTCATTTTGATTGGGAGATACCATCTGTTACTAAATTGAAAATACCATTCAACTTGGATTACATAATTGGAAAGAATAGAACAGGAGACATATTTAGATGATCAAGTCAAAGGAAGTCAGTAGGGTAATTAAACCACATGTTTATGGGTTTAGTGCTATATTGTTGATGTACAATGTATTTTTAAGCCTTTACATTACCAACTTTTGAATCATACAACTGACTAAAGGTGTCTATGGCGCATGATTTCCACCAATGTCATCAAGGTAGTAGTGTGTAATCCAGTGTGTAGGATTAAACCGGCATCTACTGAAAAGAGTCAAATGGAGGAAGTGGAACTCCTCGTACACTAATGTGTATTTGCAAGTCTTAAACATTGGTTTCCTCCACATCTCTACCATTTGCGTCTCACGTGATTTTAATGCCGAATGAGTGGTTTTTCAAGGACTTATCTAGCCAGTGGACAGCTCTGTCAGAACTATTTTGCTATCTAATACGCCCAGAGGACAAGTTAGTTGCTGTCTCTGTGATGCTGTCATCTTTTTTTGTATTGATCTAACCAGGGTAAGCTTGTGTATTAATTACATTTATGTTTATTTATTTTGATAAATGATATATGATATACTTAGTGGTTCAAAATAACTTTTTCAGAAAAATATTATTAGCCAGGAGACATTTTGTGCATGTTTCGCCCTCTCTCTGTTCCCTCATGTCCTGTCTGCATCTTCTCTGTCAGCTATTGATTTCAAGTAGAAATGCCAAAAAACTAATCCAAGAAGCCATGTGGATTTCATTTGTCTCCTCTTCATTGACAATGCATCAATGTTAAATGATGTCAGAGACATGGCCAAACATTTATCTGCTGTTGTCAAGGTGCTGGAGCGAAGAGGAACTTGTCAAAATGAGCATATTTCCATGAGTTTCCTCAAGGTGACTATCTGAACAACGGCATCAAGAAGAGTCTTGGCATGAAGAAAGTGGAGCAGGATGAAATTATTTAACTGCCATATATTTAACTGGTTGACCATGTGTTCGTGAAAGCACCCTTCAACTACATTTTGCTTTACAGCACCATGTTCTTGGTATTTAAGCATCCGTCCTGCTGAATCATACTGAAACATCGTTGTGCTAGTGAAGTGCGTCCAGGATCAAAACCCAGCTCAAAATGCTCCCCAGTACTCTTGTTTCAGAAAAGGGATTGCTGCCTGGATCCTGCCTGGAACAGAGTGGATGCTGAACTGTTAAAACAGCCAAGAGAACAAATGATGTCCTTCCAACCGGCTGATGGTTTGAAAGTGCCTAAGTGACTCAGTCGGAGATTGAATGCTCATGAAACAATATCTGATATTTTAATGCTTTTAAACCGAGCCACAAATCCACAAAATGTTATTACCTCATGGTATTTGTTATGTTACAGTTTAAAGTTATTAAACAAGACTAATTCCCACAATAACTTACACGCATGACCCTTTTAGTCACGAACGTCTGACTGCAACTCCTGCTGTTTAATTACAGTGACATTTAGTTCATTCCCTTTCATTTTGAGCAATAAGGCTGGCATTTCTTTTTGTTGGGAGCAAAACAAAATGCAGTAAGCTTTGGTGTCACTTAACATTTCTAAAAAGTAATTAAGTTTTATGTATATGTTTCATGTATAGTATAGTGTCTCAGTTATTGTCATCCAAAGCACAGAAAATATACAGTATGTGGAAAAATGGAAAACTGCCAAAGTTGGAGAAAGGACACACTATCGTGAATTATTCTTTGTTATAGCACATTGTTGAGAGTCTTTGATTTGGAAAACATATATCAAAGTAGAATTCTAACATTGCAAGACATACTATATTGTATATGAGATCCAAACGGGGTCACAAGCAGGACAAAACCATATTTTTAGTCCAAATCCTCTGTGATGCAAATCATTCATTTCTACCTACTGGAAAAGATTATGAGCCAATCCATCAGAAGAATAAAGCTCTACTGTAAATGCTGTTCATGAGGGCCACATCTTAAAATGCATTATGTGTTAAGTTACAATAGTTTCCCGTTTATAATTAGGGGCAAGTGCGATATAAATCACACAGGAAAATCTCATGCTACTGAGTTACAGCTCCACGCTCCTGTGCCAAGATCCGACACAAGACGTTGTGTGTGTACTTAGGATATTGTAAACTGTGGAGCGTTTAGAGGCTCCTCGTGGTTGAAAATGGTTTTTGGGGAGGACTTGTTATTAATGTTTAGGCTCCACTGGACCACATCTGGCACTCATCACAGTGTTGTTCCAGCCCTGATGTCTGGCCAGGCTGCTCAATTAGATTTCACTTAGTCTCTTCCTCTCCTTGCAGTCAGACTCCTGCTATCTCCAAATCCCAACCATTCGCTGAGGTTGGAGATTATAATAAAACGTGCTCAATAGGCAAGTGTGAGAGAGGTGAGATTTAATGAGAAGAGGCAGCCGTAGCTTACAGGGACACGTTTGAGTCCCCTAGTTCAGCTTGAAAAATGTGGATAGGAAAGGCCAAGGACCGGCACTCTGACCTTCCTCAGGAACCTCCACTTGGGTGCCCTTGAGCGAAGAACTTAAGTGTCAGCTGGATAAGTATTTTAGTCCGGCTTTCCCTGAAAACATGCTGCAAATGAGCCACTGTCGATATTCACAAAGGGTATAGGTAGAGTTGAAGAAAGAATATGATTATGAACAACAGGAAAGTAGCAGGTTAAAGGTGTGCCTCAGTCTGGGAATTAAGCAGACATTACATCTGCTTCAGAGAGCGCAAAATGTGGAACTGGGCTCAACAGCCAGATGTTAGCCCCCCCCACCTACCACCACCTCTCCCTCATACACACACATGCACCACACACACCCCTATTCTATATCTCTACCGGGACAAGCGCACGAATACCTCGGGCCAGAGCGGCATGTTTTACTTTCCCCAAGTCCAGGGAGGTCAGGGTCGGCACCCCTGGAGGTGGTGACTCTGGATTCAGTGCTTTGCTCAGTGACTTGTCAGCGCGGCGGATGTAAACCGAGACACTAACTATCCGAAAATCTGCGCTTGATAAAGGAGCGGCACGGAGCTCGTTTGGACGCGTTTAATGAGGGTTGGCCGAGTGTGTGCGCCAAAGTTGCGCTGCGGTGCAACATTTAACACATTCAACGCGTCATATTGGTCACTGAAGTGGAGTCGATCCAAGTGATGCAGCATGGTCTTACGCAAATTACCAACACGTTATTTTATGAAAATTCAGTGACATAATGCGTATCAAACCAAGCTCTTTGGCACGGGTTTCAACCTCAAGGCAGCTGCATTTCCACAGAAGTGAACTTGTCATAATTCACCTCAATATTATTAAGCTGCACAAAAACATATTAAATGCATTAATCATATTTGACATTTAGATTTTGCAAACTTGCTATTAGATCCAAATAAATTGAAATAATGGGGAGGATAGGTTTGATGTGCTGCTGAGATATTTCATTTTAAGTTGTATTCCACAAGACAGTCATTATATGAAGGTATTACAGAATATGGACTGTACATATCGTTTTTCTCCCAGTTAAAAAGAAAGAACATAGCCTTAAGTGAGTTCACACAGTTCATTTAACAGCCACAGTCATTTATCAAACAGGGCGAGTCAAATCAACAGTGCAAGTGAGGGCTTGTGATCAACTTTTATGCAAATGTCACTCAAAATCTTTAATTAAAAACAGATTAGACAAAAGGAAATGAAGTTTATTTGCTACATAAAGTCTAGTCCTGACAGACAAAAAATATGTTTGGCAACTTTTAAAACTTTCATTTTCAGAGTTGTATTCTCAATTATATGTCTCACTTTAATGCATATGCAGAAAAGAAAGATTAGATTTTTTACATGAGTTTAAAATAAATGTCATTGCTCTTGCACATGCTCTAAATCTGAAGCACATCTCTTACCTGTATCCAATATAGTGGCCACAACACACGCCACAGCTTGGTAAATCCAAACGTTTATCCTCATGGTTAGGAGCTTGAAAGCAGGATAAATTCCGGATATAATGAGCGACAGGGTCGGCTGTGTGGAGTCCAGAGTGCCTGGTGTCCAGCAGAAGACTTGCCTTCCTCACACAGATGCCACTTTTCCAAGAAACCACACGTCCTCGGTTCAACCCCCTTTTACTTGACTTTGTGCTCCTCTATCAGCGGCTCTCCTCACCACTGTCAAGTGCTGGGGAATAAATAGGGCTACTTCCGGATGTTATTTTCAAAATAAAACCGGATATGACTCACAAGCCAGATGTTGTACACGTCAGTCTGATGATAGTATATTTTTCACATTGTAAAAAAATCCCAGAAATAACACATGAAATAATGCAAGTTACACAAAAATATAGCCTGTCTTAGAGAGTTTATTTGTATGTTGTAATATAATTGTTTTAACCAATGACATGTCCCTTCTTTAAAAGTGAACATGGGAACTTTATTTTGAGTTAATATAATATTCTCTTACTTTTTTCTTACTTTTTACTAATATTTGACAACATTTGTACATGTTATCAGGAAAGCCAGACGTATTTGTAGTAACAGTAACATTTCTCATTTGCAAGTCATACGGTATTCTGGCTTAATAGACCGGTTTGAAGAGAACTTTATTATAATCCTTAATATGTCAAGCAAGCCCTTTAACATTGTCATGAAGTGTTGTCTTATCAGCATTTATAACTAAATAAATGACAGATTGTTGTAAAATATTTTATTATTAAAATGTATTTTTAGTTTCGGTTGTGTTTGACTTATGAGTGAGTGAAAAACCCGCACATAATATCATTAACTACCTATAAACATTCATAACTGCATGTTTGGTGGCATACTATAAAGCGTGTTATTCCATTCGTAATGACTTTATTAATGCCGGGACTTTTATTGACTCCCCAGCCAGCCAGACCTTTTATAACATTGCAACCCTAAAGGTTTTATTTAATGTATTTAAGCTCAAACATGAGGCAACAATTTAATTACCAATATTAAGGTCAACTAATAAACTTTTTATGGTGTGTTTAGAAAGTTATACCTCACACGTTGATCTTATAGCAACAGGTGGTTATGTTTAACTCAATATTAGAATTAGGAAAATGAACTGATGGAAACTAGTGGTGGCCATAAAAAATATAATGTACCTTGCTTAGGGCTGCAGGTCATCAAACAGGTTCTTAAAAAAAAATTCTGTCTCTCCTCATCCGCCTCACTTCGGCTTCAACTGAAAAGGCAGATGGGAAACTCTACATGTGTGCCAGAGAACATTTGGCTAGAAATAGTGATTGCATCCTCAAAGGATTAGCCAGTTGCAAAATACCTTATACTGTAACAGACAAAGTGCAATAGCATATAACGTCAAGCAGAAAAGAGCCTGAAGTGTCCATCAGCAAACCTGTACCTAATCCTGATGACACGGTTATTATTTCATTATAATGAAAGCTGTTGACTATATATTTGATGCGTCAGGATTTTTTTTTTAAATTCTTAGTCTGTTAATTTATGATTAATTTGCTGAATAAAAAGACAAATTACAAACACCTGATTGATTGATTGATTGAAAAGTGTATTAACAGCTTGTATATTGGGTACAGTACAGTACAGCTCAAAACATACAATTGTTAAGGGGATGCAGACCAGAGAAAGACTTTCTTCTTGTTTACATCAGGGTCCCCCATTTCCAATTCATCAGTACCTGATGTACTGATTCAGGGCTACAGTTTTTGCAACATCATGAGACAACCTCTTTGTATATACCGTGATTAAAGACACAAAGGGTCAGCTGTTCTCATGAAAGCCACGTCATGACAATGATGACAAATTACCTTCAGGAACCGAGGGAATATTTGCCCCGCGGTTCAAACAGTCACCACAAAAGAAGGTAAGGATAACACAGTGCCAAGATTCTTTTCACGGCTTAGATGAGAACCGGTAGCAATGTTCTCAAAATAAGTTGGGGGCAGGATTTCAGAATCAGAAACAGAATCAGAATACCTTTATTAGTCCCACAGAGGGGACATTTGCATCGTTACAGCAGGAAAGAGCCACAGACAGCTTTTTACCTCTACTATTGGAATCATATAATCTAGATATCATCAGTTATCCCATAACGCACTTTGCTAAATTAGACCAAACTTATGAAACTCTGTGAGCCAAAATAACACTACCTTAAATGATCATGGTTTAAATTAGCCATGTATTTGTTTGTGGTACTTACATTATGTCAGTGGCTGCAGCAACTTGAATCTAACCATCATAAACCACAGGCTGGTGGAGCTCATTTCAGAAGATATTTCTGCAAAACAAACATAGACATCTATGACATAACGGCGAAACTGTAACCTCTTCAAAAGAAAGAGGTGTTAAATAAAATGTAGTGACGATGAATGGTTTTTGTGTTAATGTAAGAGCAGGTGAAACAGACCGGTTAAATTTGACCAGGAACACAAAAGTTAAGAACAGCAGGTTTAAAGAACTATACAAGCATACTACTGGATATATCTCACACGCTACTGCATGCAAGTTTATAAAGTCCAATATATCTTTACCATATACATCTTACATAGATAATTGGAGTTTAAAAGATCCATAAAGGTACAATAAGGTCACTATAAAGAAAAAATTAAGCACCGCAGACCAGGTTTAAATCCCTAAAGGGACTATATAAGACATTAGGTTTGTGTGTTTGTGTGTGTGTTTAGATGGGGCAGCTGGAAGTAATCCTATTTAGGTACCAGCGAACAGGACTTTTGTTGGGCCCTAACCCTTATTTGACAGGAAATCCACACTTTAGCCGTTAACGGGCGGTGGACTTAAAGCCCTCCAGAGAGAGAGCAGCAGGGGGAAGAAATGGTTTGAGGTAAATGCCAGACGCCCGGCCCTCCCTCATTAAGACGCGTGCAGGTCATTCAATTTTTCTTTGGTCCCTTTTTTCTCCCTTTGGTGTGTGTGTGTGTGTGTGTGTGTGTGTGTGTGTGTGTGTGTGTGTGTGTGTGTGTGTGTGTGTGTGTGTGTGTGTGTGTGTGTGTGTGTGTGCGCATAGGAAAGTACCAGCAGGTGTAGAGGTGTGTGTGCTCAACGGCCGTAGGCCTTGGCAGCAGGCACGGCGGTGCACTGCACACCGTACACACATCATGCCAGAAACGTCAATCAGTGTCAGTGCAAAGAGGAAATCCAGACGCTCAGAAAATCTGACTTGGAGCAAATGTCTTTGTATTGGTACCCTTTGAAATAGCTGCATCCCATGTGCATCACAAGCATCAGGTAAATAAGTTAGGTTTGACATTTGATTATGCAGCAAGGGAGAAGATGTTGGAAGTGGGAGTGCTCTTTCAACAACAATCCAAAGCAATGGGAGCAATAACTTCAATGATTTATTTAGTTTCACTCAAAGCTTCGAGCCTATTGCTGAGGATTCCAAAACATTAGTCATTCTGCAGCATTGTTATTTGTTGCATGGGAATTTTGGTAGCCTTATGATTTACTGATGAGCAACTTTATCTCAACACTGGTTTGAGATCATATCAGTGTGATTGACATCGTTTCACAGCCAACAATAGATTCCGGTCACAAACGGCTTCTTACTTCAGTTCCAGATGATTTACAGGTATTTTTGGATGACATTTAAGAAAATTACTTCCTTAGACAAAGGAAGGATGGGCATTCAAAACCAAAAAGTAAAAACCAAAAAGTAAAACGTGTTTAGTCATGGGTTTCTCTCCTTGGCTTGCCTTTTCGCTTTTGATATGTTTAGCTGGAAACAACCACATAAATGCTCCTTTCTTTGTAGCTCTTGCCTTTCCTCTTTCCTCTTTCCCACATAAACACACACTTATTTCATGGCCTGCTGAGCCATGTAAAGAGGTGTGGACAGGGGAAGTGAGGAGGCAGAGAAGGGAGACCCAGAGAGATGGGTATGTTCATCATCAGTCAGAGATTAGAGCTTTTGGAGATCTTTAGTTCCAAAGGGCCAGGACCTGCCAACACACACAGAATAAAGCCTGAGTTGACTTGCTTCTTATAGCACTGTGCCAAAATGTGTGATTCTAAAACATTTTTACATACAGCTGTGTGCTTATCCAGCTGGCAGCTTCAAATATATAAATTAAGAGCAGTAATGTGAATGTATGTTAAGCCAAAACTGAAATATCAGTGGGAATGAAGTCCCGGGCCTGCATATTATCCACATTTTTTAGTTTTCTTAATTTTGCTATTTATTTTTATTTTTTTACCTGGAGTCACCTGATGGGGGTCCAGGTGTCCATGCCTTGACCTAGGGCAATATCATTAACACCATCCAATAGGCAGTTCCTTACCCCTTTTCTTCTAATTACTTTACACCCCAGCTGCCCAACAAACACATTCCAGCACATGAAGGAGGCTAATCACCGGTGTGATCTCCCCCTTTTCACCTCTGACCCCCCCAACACTAGAATAACAACGTCCATACCCACCGCCCAACCCCTCAACGCTTAACCCCCCCCCCCCCCCCCAATTAGGAGGGTGCTTTTCCTCTTGCAGATGACAGATGAGGGGTCAGAGGGTTGTCGGACCCCCTTGCTTGTTTCTCCTTGTGCCCACTGAGGGATGAAACAGGAGGGCTTCCTTGCCTTTGGGAGTGACAAGGAAAAAGATCCGGACATGGAAGTTGTACTGACATAGATAAATGACTGTTGGAGAACTGGGCACAGGAGTGCAAAGAGTGGGGAAGTTGGGGGGTGGGGGGGAAGCGGATGAGAAGATAGGATGTTTGATGGAGTTCAGGAAGAAAAAAGACGTTCAAGGAAAAGTTTAAAGTTGAGACAGAAGAAAGAGTATAACAACTGCGGAAGGATAGGACATTCGTTAAACGTCAGGGAAAGACATAGTGAGTAGATTGAAGCATTGAATGACCAAAGCAGAAACAAATGAAATTGAGAACAGGGTAGGGAAAGACAGAGAGAGAGATAAGGCATCACTCGCCGTGCTGAAAAGCTGCAGCCTTTTTCCTCCGCTGCAATAAAAGCAGAGCTGCAGTCCAATGAATCAAGGCGTTGGGGGCTTTCCTCTCTCTGTTGTGTGTTATGTCCACTGCTAATGGCCAGCAGATGTGGAGGTATTTCACAAGTGTGGCTTTGGAAAACATTCCCGCACATAAATCCAATTAGCTCGG